ATATTCTGATAATTGAGTCACAAACATATGCATCTACATAGTAATCTTAATTTTAGGCTTTTGTTTATCTACCGTAAAAGGTTTGAAACTTTAACTGGATTATTAAAGAACAATTGCTAAGTTCAGGTTTGAGTAGGCCTGGATTCAAAGATGAATATATTCATTTCTTTTTTTTTTTTCTTAAACTGTCGGTGCAGTACAGATGATTCATCAACTCCATTTCTCTCATCTGCTTTACAAAAATCACTTTCTCTCTTTTGGTAAAATGAGACTTAAGTTTCTTACCTACTTACCGTAAGAGTATGAAATTAGAAACTAGTAAACCAGTTCCAGGGAGTCCATTCCGACTCATGGCGGGCTTTCACGATTATAAGACCCCCTCTCTGTCTATACATGCAAAAAGGCTGCTAGACAGCGCTGTCTCTGTTCTGTTAGGGTTCTCTTCCCTGTCTCCCTGATCGGGGCGGTCCATGGCTTGTGCAGGCCTGTGGCCCGCAGGAAGACAAATTCATACCACACTGAAGACAAATTCATATTACACTGATTGTTTTCAGTTTGGACCAACGAGTTTCATTGTGGGCCCTCTCCCTTTTGTCCACCTACTTGGCCGTGTGCAAGCATTCATTACATAACCCAGAAACATTCACTTCTTGAGAGAAAGCGTGGAGAGGTGGAGGCTCAAACAACCAAGATTGGAGCCTCCGAGCAAATGACAAAAGGACGTGCGAGGACCTGGCTCTACGTGGTCCAGTCCGTTCAGACGACGCACTCTTACTGGCTTGATGTTGAAATATGACGCTAAAGGACACATCCGCTTGCGTTCCTCAGCCCCTCACATCTCTTTCAGACAACTAGCAGAGCAAAACAGCTGCTCCACAGGAACCTCTCAACAGAAGTCAACAGCGCTAGCTCCTCCCCCGATCGCGGCCAGAGTCGGGAACGCAAAGGCCCGGCACGCCGAGGCGGGGCAGTACGGCCCGAACAGCTCGCGCAGTGGGGGAATGACCGCAGAGGCGGCGAGTTGCTAGGCAACGGTCGGCGGCTTCCGAGCACCGCTGTCGCGGAGCGCGCAGGTGGTCGCGGGATTGAGCCGAAGGACTCTGAGGTCGGTTTCCAGGCAAAACGGCGTCAAGGGCAAAGGCGAGGGTCGCGCCGGCCGTATTGCCAGGGTACAGTTCAGGAACCGAGGAAAATGAAAATAAATGGGCCAGAGGGAAGGAATTGTCCTAGCCAAAAGTGGGGACTGCGGGGTGGGAAAGGACAACCGTGGTATACGAAATGGTTGAGGAAAGCTGACATTATGAACTCTTGTTTTTTTCAATATTTCCCTTGCGAAAATAATAATAAGGTCTTATTAATGTGGAGAAATTATTTCTAAGTTTACAGATTTATGTAGTCTATCGTGGAATCGTATTAGCTTTTTCCCCAAGTCCAGAACCTGGTGTTTAACACAAATCTGTTTGGGGTGTTAATAATAACTGCTAATAAGAATATTATTTTTGTGGCGCTTAATTATTAATATTTTAAAGTCTCGATGAGCTTGACATGTCTTATGTGTCTCAATTTATGTCAAGACACACAGTAGCTGTCAATAAATACTTAGTGAAGTGGTAACGCATTCAAAGTTATTCCTACTCAATTTGTGCCGGTTTCTTGCGTAGACATAAATGGTGCAAAATTATGACGGCTTGAAAACTTTTAAAAGTACTTATCTGAAATCCATAATTTCTAAAAATCTAATGCTATCCGTTACAAAAATGGATTCAAGTCCAAAGGTATGGTTACGTTTTCTAAGAGAATTTTAACAATGTAATGTTAGGAATTTTTGTGTGCCTCTGGCCATCATAAATGCAATCTCATAAAAAATGTATAAACAAAAATTAAAAAGTTATGAAAGATAAGACAGTGTGTAGAATTGTATTTTAGAAGTGTTTTTGTATGTTTAGCTGTCTGTGTGCATGTGTTTTTAATTAATATGTTTAATTTATTAATTAGCTTGGAGCCCTGGTGGTGCAGTGGTTATGAGCTTGCTAACCAAAACGTCGGCATTCGAATCCCCCAGCAGCTCCTTAGAAACCCTATGGGGCTCTGTCCTATAGGGTCGCTATGAATCAGAATCAACTCGTGGGTGTTTTGTTTTTTATAGTCACTTAGACAAATTAGTAATTAATTCCTTTGGTCCCACAGTAATATTTTTTACTACCAAGCCCTACATCTTTTAAGTAGGTTTCATACTAGAATTTAAGAAGGCTTATGTTCCTATTTTGCCTCTTCATACTGGACAAAGACTAAGTTTCTAACCTTGCCGTTGCCACCAACTGGTTATATAATAGCAGTGATTGTGAGGATGGCACAGGACCGGGCAGTGTTTCGGTGTGTTGTACGTAGGGTCGCTACGAGTCGGAACTGACTCCATGGCGCCTAACAACAACAGTTATGTAATCTTGAAGGAGTTACCTAATTGCTGGATATATTTTCTCATTAATAAAATGGAGTTGGACTAGATATTCGAAAAGGGTTTTCCAACTCTGTAGAGCTTAAAAGTGGCACAGTTTTCAAAAGCTCTTGGTATTAATCATTGAGTGGCTTACAGTGTAGAAACTTGAGATAGAATTCTGGACTGTTCATAGCTACAAATTTTAATATGATGTGAACTGTATCTTCTGCCAGGTTACAGGCATCTTTGCAAGCAGGGGATTTTGATACAGTCCTTGGGTTATGAATGAGATCCGTTCCTAAGTCTGTCCTTAAGAAGGACTTGTAGATAAGTCGGAACAGGTGCATATTAGTTGTATTAGTCGGTTTATTAGTCTTACTTAATTAGATGGTTCTTACTAGTCTTAGTGCAAGAAAAGGCTCAAGGCCTTGTCAGTGCTTTAAAAGCTACACGTGCAGCAAGTGAAAGTGATTGTGATGAATTTGTTGTGAGTAGGGGTTGGTTCTGTCGTTTCAAAGTGAGGGCAGATTTACATAACATTAAAGGATAAGTGTGAGTTTGAATCCGACATTTGTATTGCGGGGACTTAGTGTATTGATCTCTCAGCATTTGAAATACCTTCTGCCATTCGCCAACCTACACTGTCTTGATGAAATATTGGTTAGAAACATTTTTCATCCGTCTCTTGATGCCAGAATTGAAAGGGAACAAGAAAGGGCTTACAGTAAAAACTGTTGTCTAGTGTTCTGAAGGATTTTAGCAGCTACTAACCTTTTTCCTCATGTTATTGTTGTGTGCCGTTGAGCCGATTTCAACTCACAGTGACCCTGTAGGACAGAGCAGAACTGCCCCATAGGGTTTCCAAGGCTATGATCTTTATGGAAGCCAACTGCTGCATCTTTCTCCTGCTGAACCGCTGGTGGGTTCAAACCACTGACCTTTTGGTTAGCAGCCAAGCGCTTAACCACTCTGCCATCAGTGCTCCTTTTGTTCCTCCTGAGGCATGGGTATGTCGTCAATTGGCTTCTATCGACCTTACTTTTCCCTCTCTACACTTACTCTTTTATTAAGTTTATTCTTTCTATTGTACTAAGTTAAGCAACTGTTAGTCCTTAGAAATATATTTTGGATTTATTAGGCTGTCAATACTAATTCCTAGATTGCTTCAGTAATTTACTGTTTCTCCCCACTGCAGTACATGTGAACTCTTTTCATAAAATGCACCCTTATCTAAAAACTATAAGGGCCAATTCCAAATTCTTCCACCAGCTTTGAGAGGGGAATTGGAGCAAGAATAACCATTTACATAGTCTGATATATGAAAGGATCCATTGTAGATACTTTACAAAGTTGTCTCATTTAATTCTCATGATAACCCTGCAGGGTAAATATTATTATACACGTTTATAGCTGAGGAAGCTGAGACTTAGGTATGGTAAGTATCTTGCCCAGCAAACTGGTAAAACAAGATTGGAACCTAAGTTTGCCTGTCCCCCATAGTCTGTGTTTCTGTGTTCAGGACAGATTGAATTTAGCCAGTATGCCTCTTCCATTCTAGTTCCTCCATTGTTCTCTTTTTCCCCTAGGTATAAACACACCATCCTGATTTCCTAGCTTAGTGCCTTTGCTTTTTCTGTACCTGTTGTATAACATGTCCATTTCCCTCTCTCTGTCCTTCAAATTCCGCTGAAATGTCAGCTCTTTAAGAGGTTTTACACTCGCTATTCTCTGATCTTTTTCATATCTAAGTTTGTTGTATACTGTCCTTGAGCAAGGAGCCCTGGTGGCACAGTGGTTAAATGCTCAGCTGCTAAAAGGTCAGCGGTTCAAACCCACCGGCAGCTCTGCTGGGAGAAAAGATCTGGGCAATCTGCTCCCCTGAAGATTGTTGTTGTTGTTAGGTGCCAAGAGTCAGTTCCAACTCATAGCGACCTTATAGGACAGAGTAGAACTGCTCTATAGGGTTTCCAGAGAGCAGCTGGTAGATTCTAACTGCCAACCTTTTGGTTAGCAGCCGAACTGTTAACCACTATGTCACCAGGCCTCCTAGGAAACACTGTGTGGCAGTTCTACTCTGTCCTATAGGCTCTCTGTGAGTCAGAATCAACACAACAACACTTAGCATTAAATTATTCTCATTTATATTAATATGTTCTCTCCAACTAGGTGGTGAACTGCTTGAGGGCAGGGATGAATCACATCATGTCTGTTTTGAATTCCTCCCCTTTCCTCCAGAATCAGAATGTGTAGTTTAGTGCTAGGCTGTAGTAAGCATTCCCATTACTTGATTATCAGTTAGATTCTTAATACATACACTTACTCACTTATTCTCAGGAGAAAAGATGTGGCAGTCTGCTTCCAGAAAGATTACAGCCTTGGAAACCCTATGGAGCAGTTCTACTCTGTCCTGTAGGGCCGCTATGAGTCAGAATCAACTCGATGGCAACGGGTTTGGGTTTTTTTTATTATTATTCACTTATTATTATAAAACATATTTATGCACACCCTAACTTTGACTTTCTGTTGACTGTGTTTTTACAGTAGAAGAATTAAAGGAATGTGATGCGATGTGATGATATGACATTTCCTATTTCAGCATGTTAAAAAATAAGGTACACATCCTTTTTAAAAACATACACTTCATTTTAATCATGAAATATATTTTAATTCAGCCATTTGAGAGTATAACAAATGCTTTGCAAACTTGCTTCAACAGGAGTGGGAGATGGGAGATGCCAAGTCTGGCATGGGAGAAACGGGTAGCTTGATGAGAAAAACAATCTACTGTAGTACTTACTGCAAGCATCTCCTAGCTGCATGGTAATTCGTATTCTACCTAGGAAATGTATTAAGTTTTCCCCCCAAAATAGCATACACTTAAATGCAGGATTCTCTTTGGTAAACAAAAACAAGATTTGCCTGGAGTCTATAATTTGATTGTAGTGAAACATCCTGTGTTTAGGCATGCATGTTTCATAGGTCATAATGAATTTATTCGTATCATAATTAATACTACTAAATAAAAAAATTACTATGTTGTTAATATAAATGATGAGACTGGGGTTTGTTCTGACTTAGGTAACAATGGGTCAAAGAATTCTTTATTATTATATTTGGTCTAGTATGCTGTCAAGGTTGAGTATTAAACTCTTAGTTTTCTTTAAAATGATGTTCCTATATGTAAGACTTTTTTTTTTTTTTTTTTTACTACTTTTTAGGGTTATTCATCCAAAAAAGATAATTTAGCAGTTACTGCAGTTGCTTTACAAGATCACATTTTACATGATCTTCAACTTCAAGGTCTTTCAATAGCAGATCATTCTAAGACAAAGGTACAAAAGAAAGAGAACAAATCGAAGTCTCTAAAAAGAGATGCAAAAGCAGTAATCGATACTGGGCTTAAGAAAACTACACAGAGCTCTGTCGTGGAAGATCCAGAAAAAGAATATGTTCTTGATCCAAAACCTGCACCATTAACTTTAGGTAAGCTAAGCCGGTCGTTCATATTTGCTTTATTAGAGTTAATAAATCTAGTTGAGATTAACACTATAATTTTTATGGAACAGAAATAATATATTTTGGTTTATAACTATACAGAAAGGTATGTATGCACTGAAGTTTAAAAATGATGGGGGACAACTTGAGCAAGAAAATAAATATAGTCATGACAAGTAGACTAAGTAAAGATAGTAGAATAAAATAAGTATCCATTAGTCCATACTGGTGGAAATAAATAAATAGGTAAATAATGAAAAGAAAAAGCCCTTATACTAGGATAAGTATATTCTAATCGACAGCAGCCAACAACAACAACAATATATTGGAGTTTCTGGGTGTACAAAAGGTCAACGTGCTCAACTGCTGACTGAAAGGTTAGAGGTTTAAGTCTACCCAGAGGCACCGCAGAAGAAAGGCCTGGAAATCTACTTCTGAAAAATCAGCCACTGAAAATCCTATGAAGCACAGTTCTACTCTGACACACACGGGGTCGCCATAAGTTGGAATTGACTTGGAGGCAGCTAACAACAACAATAGCAGTAATATATGAGATGAATAAATATAGTTAGAGGAGTGATGGAAATAGAAAATTGCCATCTGGCAAACTCTACAGTAATAACAGTCGTCAACGGATGCTGAAACTCATGGGAAAATTTACGACAAGACAGGGTATTTACATAGTTTCACAGAATTTCCCCACAGATATTTATTCATTACAAAGGGAAAAGTAATCATTTTACCATGGTAACACCTGGCAAACACCACCTTAATCAAGTGATCAAAGTTAACATCACCAGAATGAAACACCACCAACATCATGTGCCTCCTGACATGCACTGGGAAAGGCACATGATCAGTTCTGTGGAATCCTTGCCAAAGTGCATAACCTGGATTTAATCATGAGGAAATGTCAGGAAAACCCAATAGGAAGGTCACTCTACACGATTCCTGACCTGTACTCTTCAAAAGTATCAAGGTCAAGAAAAGCAGATAAAGACTGAGGAACTGTCCCAGATTTATAGACAACTATGGAGAAAAAACAACGAAACACAGCATGTAATCCTAGGCTGGATCTTAGTCCAGATATTAGTGAGACAAAAAATGAAATTTGAATAAGTCTATAGGGTGATTAATAGTATTATATCAGTATTAGTTTTCTGGTTTTGATTATTGCACTATGGTTGTGTAAAATGTTAACATTTGGGGAAGCTGTGCTAAGGATATATGAGAATTCTTTATACTATATTTTGCAGTAATTTAAAGTCTCAAATTATTTTAAAATTCTTAAATGGGTCTATAAAAATTCAAAGTTAAAGTTTCTCTGGTAACTTTGTTGTTCTTAGGTGCCATCAAATCAGTTTCAACTCATAGCGACCCTGTGTACAACAGAACGAAATGCTGCCCAATCCTGTGCCATCTTCACAATCGCTATGCTTGAGCCCATTGGTATAGCCACTGTATCAGTCCATCTTGTTGAGGGTCTTCCTCTTTTTTGCTTACCTTCTACTTTACTAAGTGTGATGTCCTTCTCCAGGAACAGGTCCCTCCTGATAACATATCCAAAGCATGGGAGACAAAGTCTCACCGTCCTCACTTCTAAAGAGCATTCTGGCTGTACTTCTTCCAAGACAGATTTGTTTGTCCTTCTGGCAGTCCATGGTATATTCAGTATTCTTCACCCATACCGTAATTCAAATGTGTCAATTCTTCTCAGTCTCCCTTATTCATTGTCCAGCTTTCACATGCATATGTGGCGATTGAAAATTCCACAGCTTGAGTCAGGTGCACTTCAGTCCTCAAAATGACATCTTTGCTTTTTAACACCTTAAAGAGGTCTTTTGCAGTGGATTTGTCTGGTGCATTTGATTTCTTGACTGCTGCTTCCATGGCATTGATTTTTTGGAAGTAGATTGCCAGGCCTTCCTTCCAAGGTGCTTCTGGTTGGACCTGAACTTCCAACCTTTTGGTTAGCAGCTGACATGTTAACTGTTTGTACTGCCCAGGGTCTCCTAATGGTTTTCTAGGGGTAAATATATAATGAAGTAACCAATTATATCTAAAGCCTCCCCATTGGGAAGGGAGAGGGGAGTCTTCAAGGGCACAGAGTCCTGCTCTGCCATCATTGGTCTTTGCAGGCCATGCCTTTGTTGGATTATTTTTTCCCCTTCATTCCCTATCCTCAATCCCATCCCCACTCCAGCATAACACCCACTGTAGTATATGTTATTTCGCTGTTTCTTCACTGTGTGTTAGATGTGTATCTGTAAAAAATGCATTATGCTGTCTTGTCAGAGTTTCATTCATTTACATAAATTTGTGTTATGCTAGAAATCTTATTCTGTTTCTTTTTTCACTGGACTTATATTTTTTAGTTCTGTTCATGTGATACATAAAACTGCCTTGTAGTATGCCATGATATGCATGCATGCCATATTTTGTTCATCCAGTTCTAACTCGTTACTTCAAACACTATAATAAACTTTTTTTTTGCTTATCTCTTGTAGACCAGTGCAGGATTTTCTCTGTAGTATACTGAATGTATACTATACATGTGCACATAGATCAATCCTCTAAGTACTGCCAGATGCTGTCATGAATGGCTGCCCCAGTTTATTTTCTGGACCATCAGTGGATAAGGAGACTGTTTCCTCACTTTCTCCCCAACACTTGGCATTCACTCTATTTTGAAAATTTGTAGATATTTCTACATACATATTTATATGTGTTGCATGTATATTCATATATATAATAGAGCACATAGGGGCAAGTTATAGAAGCTTCTTACATGTAACCAGATACCTCATGGGACTGAGATACTAAGACCATAGTCTCAGGGAATATCTAGGTCAGTTGGCGTAACACAGTTCATAAAGATAATGTTCTACATCCTACTGTGGTGAGTAGCGTCTGGGGTCTTAAAAGTTTGCAAGATACAACGGTTGGTCTCTTCCACAGCCTCCACCAGGACGGAAGAACTAGATTGTGCCCGGCTACCACTACCAACTGCTCTGACCAGGAACACAATAGAAGGTCCTGGTTAGAGTGGGAGAAAAATGTAGAACAAAATCCAAATTCATAAAAAAAGACCAGACTTAGTGGTCTGATAGAGCCTGAGGAACCATGACACTATAGCCCTAAGACACTCTTCTAACGTGGAACTGAAGTCACTCCCAGAGATCACCTTTCAGCCAAATAAGAGACAGGCCTATAATGTTAACAATAACACACGTGAGGAAGGTGCTCCTTACAATAAACAACTGTACTAGACCCAAAGGGCAACATTTGCCCAAAAGCAAAGATGAGAAAGCAAGAAGGGGAATAGAAACTGGATGAATGGAAACGGGGAATCCATGCTGGAAATTGGGAGATTGCTGACACATTGCTGGGATTGCAACCAATGTCACGGAACAAATTACGTGAATTATTGAATGGGAAACTAATTTATTATGTAAACTTTCACCTAAAGCACAATAAAATGTCCCAACACGCGCATACACACGTAGGATTATAAGGGAAAAAAATTACAATAAAATACATTTGTTGAAATATTAAAAAACAAATCCATAATATAATAATAGAAGTGCTTCTATATTAGATATTGGAGCCCTGGTGGCATAATGATTAAGACCTCGGCTGCTGACCAAAAGGTCAGCAGTTCAAATCCACCAGCCACTTCTTGGAAACCTATGGGACTGTTCTACTCTGTCCTATAGGCTCGCTATGAGTCGGAACTGACTTAACAGCACCTAACAACAACAACAACTACATATTAGATGTTAAGAAAAAAATTTGTAAAACTAGTAAGTGTAATTGGGAATCTCATTCTAGTTTGCATTTTCCAGTTACTAACAAGGGTAGGCCATATGCTCTTAACTATTATGTATATATAATTTTCCATTGGGTTTTCTATCTTTTGTTGCTGATTTACAGGAGATCATTGTATATTCTACATAATAATCCCTTGTTAATCTAGCCACTGAAAATAACTTCTCCTGGTCTGTGACTGTCATTTAACTGTTATATTGATCAGTTTTTTCCTTTATTTATATTTGGGGGAATTTACAAAATCCCAATTCTGAGATTGCAAAGATTTTTTTACATATTTTTTATTTAGCTTTTAAGTTTTGCCTTTCACATTTAGATCTTTAATCTCTTCACAGTTTGTTTTGCATGTAGAATTGGGAACTGCTATTCATAAGGTTTTCACTGGCCAATTTTGTTTTAGAAGTAGATCACCAGGTCCTTCTTCCTAGTCTGTCTTATCCTGGAAGCTCTGCTGAAAGCCTGTCCACCATGGAAGACACTGCTGATAATTGAAATACAGGTGACATAGCTTCCAGCATTACAGCAACACTCAAGCCACCACAGTATATGACACAATTTTCAACTGAGGAGGACCTGCCTCCTCAAAGTGGCGTCAACATTAATGACATGGATGGAGTCAAGCTTTCAGTACCTTCATTTGCTGATGTGGCACAACTCAAAATGAGAAGAAACAGCTGCAAACGTCCGTTAATAATCGGAATGTGGAATGTATGAAGAATGAATTGAGGAAAATTGGAAGTTGTCAAAAATGAAATGGAACACATAAAGATCAATATCCTAGCCATTAGTGAGCTGAAATGGACTGGTATTGGCCATTTTGAATCGGACAGTTGTATGGTCTACTATGCTTGGAATAACAAATTGAAGAAGAATGATGTTGCATTCATTGTCAAAAAGAACATTTCGAGATCTGTCCTGAAGTACAGCGCTGTCAGTGATAGGATGATATCCATATGCGTACAAGGAAGACCAGTTAATATGGCTATTACTCAAATTTACACAGCAACCATTAATGCCAAAGATGAAGAAATTGATGGTTTTTACCAACTTTTGCAGTTTAAAAATGATCAAACGTGCAATCAAAATGCGTTAGTAATTACTGGTGATCGAAAGATGAAAGTTAGAAATGAAGAAGGATCAGTAGTTGGAAAATACAGCCT